AAGTTGTTATTTGGGACAAGTTTCCCTTACAAAGCATGCATTCTTTATAAATAAAGAATGATCTGATGAAAGTTGGTTTAGGGGAGGTTGTTAGGCATGTTGTGGAATTGTACATCAATTTTTTGTTCTCAAAATTATATTTTGCATTGAGCGATCACAACATGTCAATTGGTTTGCATAACTATCCTTCTCTCAGTTGGTCAAGTGTCATTTGTGATTTATTTATTTATTTATTTTGTAGAATAAATTGATATTACTACTTGAAAAACAAGGCAACAACATCCGGTTGGTTGTATGAATGATTTTATTGTTTTTTTTATGGTTAGTATTTTGTATTTATCAACAAACTTATATTTTTTTAGATATTCAACCTGACAATTTTTCTTTCCTAAATATATGTTTTACGTAAACACTTCAATTATTCAACCAGCTTACCCGGCACAAGGTCTCGAATGTTGAAGTGGTTAAGAAATGAGATGTGCAAAAAATTTTATGATGTTTTATATTCTACACAATGCCCCGACCAAGTAACAAAAAAAGTATGAACTTTTCTCATTAACTACATGGCATTTCATTTGCATACATAATATATTAACTGATTGATTGTTTATCGTGGGTTTTTTATTCTTTTAAGGACTTAATGGAGGCTGAGCTACTACTACTTGCTCCAACAACACACAAACCTCCAATTCCTATTCATATCAAGCATTTAGCAAATTATGCATTCAATGCAACTTTATGAGAAGAAATGCTTTGAATTTGAAGCGTCAGTGCAAAATAACTTAAGTGAGTTGTTCAATATATTATTAATTGTTGAAGTAAAATAAGAAAAAAAAACCAATTTGTAAATCTTTCTCGAACAACATTGTACTACAAGTCAAGGCAAGAATTGCTCGAAAAAAAAAAAAAACATTTAACCTCTGAATATATTCATATAAATGAAACAGGAGTGAAATTGGATCTGTCGATGTTAAACCACTTAGAGTGAATATTGTTGGGGTTGTAGATCAGGAGGATGAGAAGAAAAAGAATGATCAGATTATTGTAGTTATATGGTGATACATTTTATGGAATAGTTTTCACTGGAACGATTCAATATATTGATTTGGAGCACTTTGAAGTGAATGTAACTTTAATTAATTTCAATTAATGTGTATTACCATAACACAACATTATGTTCTAGTGTATTTTATTATATGAATATGTACTTTGTAGTGGACGCTTTTGACTCTCCAGACAAGGAAAAAAAAAAACAACACATATGTTGGATATGATCGATATGTGTTGTCGACATTTCAATGATAAGATGGTTACTTCACAAGTCTTTTATCTTTTGACTATATAAGAGTGATGTAATGTCTGTTATTGGCCACATTATAATTGGTCAAACCACCATTGATGGGTTTTTAACAAATCAGTATTTATCCCAATGAACATGGTGATTCATTTGGTTTTTTTTTTTTGAAGGATGAGAATATAAATATCCACATTTATATAAATTGTTATTGTGCATAACGCACTTGCATCTAGTAACTATACACGTCACATCATTTATTTTATTATTAACAAATAATTTGTCCTTCTTTGTAATTATAAATGACATATCTTTTGTATTTTACAGGTATATTCCATACTTAGGGAAGGCAATAAGATGTTTGGGAAATATATAATCAAAGAAAATATCTTGAAGGCAATTCTCTTGTTGGTCCCCACAGTTCACTATCAACATTGGATTCTCCTAATCGTAGAATTTAATTCAAAGAAAAGACGTTTGCATGATTTGCCTCCTATAAATCACACAAGAAACAATCTATGAAATTGTAAGGAAAATCAACAATACATGCTTCAATAGTTCAACATCTTTTTTTAGTTATTATTTTTATAAATTTAACGCAATTTAATTAGTTTTGTCGAACGTTAAACTGATTATTCTAGACGCTGATGTTGCATTTGATTCATATCCATCCAATTGGCCAATCATTGTTTGCAGATTGCTTCCAGCTAAAATCAATAATATTGACTGTGGTATGTTTGTGTGTGAGTACACTAAAGCTTTGGCGGATACGAAGACGTTGAATTGGACTGAACCCTATAACTGGTGGCAAACATTGACAATATTTAGAACAAATTTTATATATGATATTTGTTTATAGTCCACGCCAATCAAATGATACTTGTGAACAATCTATTAAGAATTTTGTTGATGATCTTATTTCAAATTTATATGTATGTGGTCACATTTGAAACATTTTAGATTTCTGACAACAACAATCAATTTTCTTTTTTCTCAAATCAATATAATAAAGTGTGATTTCATATTTCAAATTCAATTTTTACTATAAAACATTAGTTGTTAAGGAAGCAATATTTATATGTCATGTCATGATTCATTATGACGAGTCATTTAATTATGATACACTTCAATTAAATTCTTTTATATCCTCAACAAATAGTTGCATTGGGCATCACATTCAAGCTTTTTTCTTGTCATTCTGATCAATATTATTAGGATTGCTTGATCTTTTTTTGTGGTGAGTTGTTATTCTTAATTAGTTTATGTATCGAATGACATGACTTGTTTTAGAGAAAACAATGCTTGGTTATGAATAAGTAGAAGTGTTAGAGGTGAATAATTGTTTTGTGGTTATTGATACTTTGAGAAAATGGTATGGAGGTTTACATTACACAAAGAGCTATTAGATATCAACGCCAGACGCTTTTACAACATATTAACCTCTTAATAGTAACTGTTAAAAAAAATTAACAAGGTTAACCCGATATTGCTTTAATAAAGTAGTTTCTAAAGCGCATCCACTATTCTTTTGGGATGTAAAATGTCACTTTTTTTTTGCTTTACTTTAATTAATTTCTATATTAAATTTACTAATTAATTTTTATTTTTGCTTCTTGTTAATAATTTTATTGATGTTGTTCTTTATATATATATATATACATTTGATCATAACGAGACTATATATCATGTAATTGTTTGTCTTCATTAAATTGTTTTGAAGTTCGTATGTTTAAACTTTGTTTGTTGAAATGTTCCCATCATAAATTTAATGAAAGCATGCTTTCATTGAATTTTGGGTGTAATTGGGGTGGTAGTTATGTGACACTGCAGTGATATTGTGGTCATTGTGGTGATATTATGATGCTATTGTGATTGTGTTGTGTTGGTGTTATGATGATATTGTGGTGGTGCAGCTCAACATAATATAACTACAGTGCCACCATAATGTCACTGTAGCACTGCAACAATACTATGATAACATTGAATTAGTGTTATGGTGGCATTTGAGTGAAATTGAGGTTATATTAGGGTGATAATGTGGCGGTCTTGTGGTGATATTTGAGTGACATTGAGGTGGTGGGGTGATATTGTTGTGGTATTGTGACAGTGTTATGATGTTGTTATGGTGATATTGAAGTGGTTGAATGACAATAATGTTCGAGTGAAATTGAGGTGGTATTGTGATGACATTTAAGTGATATTGATGTGGTGTTAGAGTGACATTATGGTGTTCTTATGAGGATAATGTGTTGATATTGAGTTTTTTCACACAAATACACCATATCTTTTGCTACTCTGATGTGAAAGATAATGCACTGTGATGCTATACACATTCGCATTTGAAAATGGATGTTTTTAAACTTTTAGTTAGTTTCTAAAAAAAATGTGGTATTTTGGTTGAAATATTGTATTTTTTTCTCACAAATAGACCACATCCCCTCTTCACCTTGCATGATAAACAAATTAAATTTGACAATATCAAAATAATATAGATTTAAACTACAAAAGACATGAAATAATGTGAAACAATATTATTATTTCACTGACATATAAACTCACATCCATTTCATTCCTGACACCAATTTTTTTTGCATTCTATCTTTAAAATTCTTCTTATGCAAATGTATCACAATCGTGCTCTCCTCAACATACCACAAAAAATAATAAATGAAAACTTCAGAACACCAAGAGGAAATGAAGTCAGCTGTGGTAAACAAAACGAGAACTTTACCGTGAAAAATAAAAATAAAGGAGGGGGTCAGGTTTTTAAATCTATCGTTTTTTTGTTGTCGAATTTTTAGACTTGGTTCAGTCATCACAAAAAAATGACTTTTTTTTTTTATAAAATTTTTTGTGGTTTTTGAATGCATGTAAATAAAAAATTTTGTATTTGCTCAGCTCACACCTAAATTTTCATAATTACAAATAACATATAAAAACAACACCTATTATCACCTTTTAATGGTCAAATCCATCTTTTCATCAATAGAAGCGCTGTGTGTAAAAACGAAAGTTTAGATATGAGATGGGTAAATTCCTAAGAAGTGGGTGCTATATATGTAAATTTGCATTTTTTTTAATAGCACCAAGTGAGTCCAACTAAACAAACAAGTATAAATGAAGTTAATGTATTGAAAAATTTAAACAAGGTAAAATTGAATAACGCATAAAAGCTAGACACAATCACAAGCCTAACGTAGAAAACTTAAAATTAAATAAAGACTAGCCCAATCTATGCCATACTCGGCTAGATGTAGTCCTAATCCTGCACAGGGTTTGAACCGACTGATCACCGCAACTTTGATCGCCGCCATCCAAACTCTGATCCCTCCACTCTCCCTTTTCAGCTAGTTCGCTGCTCGCCTCCCTCATTCCGCGCCCACAGCTCACAGCGCATGTGCTATTTACATACGAAATACGCACGCAGAACTGCATGCGTATTCCACAAAATAACCTTTTAATAACTTAGTTATTGAGGGTTATTGATAGTTTATTGAATTATAAACTCTCAATAACCCCCCGTTAACCTATCAATACATTCCGCAATTTCACGCTCATATTTTTTGCTGTTATTAGGAAGTTTTAGTAACTTATTAGGGGTTATTAATCCATCTTTGTCTCATTAGCAGCATACACATCACTTATACTACTTATACTACTTAAATATACGGGCGGAAGAACCGCTTGCAAAAACCCTACACGCTGATTCTCCAAACTCGGCGGAGCATCCCTCTGTTACCTTATTCTTCCACCTCTGTTATATCTCTGGGACAGTACTAAATTTTGTGCCGACGAAGGTAGGATGGGATTTAAAAGTCACTGGCGGGGGACACTGGCTGGGGGGTAGGAACGGAGGAAGACGATGCCCTGCGCTTCATTTCTCAGTTGCTCCCTCTGGATGCGCGCTCGGATGACTACGAGCCTTGCCTCCTCCGCTACTCTTCGCGTGCCGTCTATCTTTTACCGGAACCGTAGAAATCCAAACTCTTTTACGGCCGAAGCAACGCCCATGAAGGCTGGGATATATGTGCCGCCAATCCATCGTTTGCGGTCGGTTATAGCTTCGGCGAATGGGAGCGTTGTCACCACCTCGCGGTCTGCCGACAAAGATTGGCGCGACTCTCTCGGACAGTCTTTGGCGATTGAAGCTGACAGATTTAACTATTACCGGCACCAGAGCTCACACTACTCAAGGTATGCATATGAGGATTTTTCGGAAGATGAGTCTGATCGGGATTTGGACGCGTCTTCAACTTCAAGCAAGGTCAGTTGAGTTTTCGTTAAATTCACATTTTTATTCGAAGGGCTACATCTATGGAACCTAGATAGCTTTGGTGAAAATTTGATTAGTTGTCTGTTGATGTCACACTCCCGGGTCTGCAAGGCCATACTCTCCCACAACACATGCCATAGATAAATTAATTAAGAATAAACAAAAAAAATATAAAGTTTTATTTCATTATGAATAGTCAATATATAAATGAAAGGAAAGCAGGAAAGTGACCAAATCAAACTAAAATAACAACACAAAGCAACTATCTAGACCCCAAAAGGAAAATAATCAAAACAAACACTGAGGGAGAAATACCAAAACTGGAAATCTAAAATTGAATAGCTTGCTCCAGTGGAGTCGGTTATACTGGTGTTTGAATAAAATCTCTTATATAAAAATTTCAAAGAGTGAGTTCGACAAACAAACACAATAAATGACAACTATTTATTAAAGTATAAACGACAATAAAAATGAGGTATGCACTATGAACCACAAATAAGAACGATTATTATGTGCATATATATAACATTGTGAGGCAACACAAAAGTGGCAACTTCAAATACGCATAAGATAAAAGACATATGAAATCATTTTCCATCAAGTTTCTTATTATTTAGTTTTCTATTTATTGTTTATATAGTCGGTTTTAATACACCCTGAAATTAAAAAAATAAATACCAACCTAAGAAAACCCTATGATTTCCCGTTGAGTCGTCACACACTAGGCCCGTCGGCTCAGCTAACAAATGTCAAAAGGTTTTTACCTTATGATATTCATGACACTTTATTCTTCAAAGCATTGCTCGATATTATGGAGCTATGCATCAGACTCGATTGAGTCTGTTGTGCCTTTGAAGTCAAAAAATGGTCCATCACTCGATCCAAGACACTTCCATTGGTTGATTAGGTTGTGTCTCCATGGTGACCACTGGCGACACTGTTTGAGTGGCTTGTGGTGCCAGTTGCAATGCTTGCTAGCAAATAGCTTACATTGCTTATGCAATTTGAGCTGCAATAAGTAACTTGTATTGCCGGAGCAACATTCTGGATCCACGCCTCGACAAGAGTTTTCATGTTGAGATTCGTTGCTCAGGCAGTCTCGGTGGTTTGAGCAGGATCAAAACGATGACGATTAGGGGAGCAAGAGTCCCTTAAGAACAAACACATCATTTAGAGTAGCTATGGACTCATATTCCATGAGCGGATATTGCACCTCTTCTTTCGGAGGTCTTCTAAATATTTGAAGTATAGACAATCAAAATCAATTAAATAATTGACTAACAAGGATAACATATCCATACCCAATCATATGAAGACAAGGGATATGGGATGCAAAATCAAGTAAGATTAAATACAAAACATAAGCTTCGATACCACTTTGCCACACCCATGATTCAGAAGACGGTACACGCCGACAACGCAGGACATGATGAAATGAATTGAATAAGTTTTGTATTTTTCAAAAGAAAAAATTGTATGCAAATAACAACAAGAAGAAAATAATAAATATAAACTTTTATTCCATAATGAATAGTTCAATTTAATAACTGAAAGAAAAATAGGAAACTGATTGAATCAAATTGAAATATCAACATGGAACAACTAACCAGGCCCAAAAAGAAAGCAACAAACACACACATTAAGAAAAGAAATCAAAACCGAAAATCTAAATTTGAAAAGCCTGCTCCGGTGAAGACCGTTCTAATGGTGGCTGAATAGAATTTGTTATTCAAAAATATCAAAGAGTGAGTATGACAAACAAACTAAATAAATAATAACCATCTATTTAAATATAACGACAAAAAAATTAAGCGTACAATATCCACCACAAATAAGGACGATTACTATGTTATATGTATAATATTGTAAGACAACAAGAGAATGATAAACATTAAATATGCATCACATAAGAAAACATGCAATTATTTTCCATCAAATTTTTGGTTATTCATTTTTCAAACTATTATTTATATAATCAGTTTTAATAGATACCTTAAAACCGTGACGGTAATACCAACCCAAGGAGACCCGACGATTTCTTGTAGTCGTTACTTTATGAGCTTGTCGACCCTGCTTGCCAAAATCCAAAAAAGTTTTACTGATCCACATACCATCACACATAATCTTGAAAAATTATTTCCACAGGTATAATATGTAAGAACTATAATATTTTATGCATATTTGTGATATGATAGATGCAGATTCATGCAAGATATAAAAAAAAGTTATAACTGCAAGATTAATTCAAGTATGTAGAAAATTTTGCAGCAATAAATTAAGACGGATCGTAATCTCATCATGAGGAGTAATTGAAGCCTATACAAGAATAAAATTATAACTGAAATAACAATGACATAACTCACAATCCTATAAAATAACCATGAATTTATTACAAATAAATAGAATTAATGCTCCCAATTAGGATGAGTATGCTTGTTTAATAAAAAATAATTATTTATCTGAAGATGTCAAACACGATGCTTCTATGAACCTGACGGTTCGACTATCGATTCTACACAAATTAGAAAATAAAATATAGATAATTATGCAATTAAATCTATTTATTTATTAAATTAGACATTTTTTAATAGACCAACCAAGATTTAATATATGTATGTATATATAATAAATTATTTTTTAAGAAGAAAATTATAAACTTAATTAACTTTAACTAATATAATAAAAATATATTATTATTTTTTTATTTTGATATAGGCGAGATTAGATTTTTTGATTTTAAAATAAAATTTTGGGGGATTTACATAACACCTAAAGATTTAATAAATAGTAAAAAAAATGATATCTTCAAATCCTACAAGCTCTTAAATTCTGCTCCTTTGGTTTGCCTTAACTCTAGGATTTAGCACATCCTGTTGGGAGATGGATTTACGCAATTCAGAGACGCTGTTGTGCACGTGAGGGAGGAAGACAAAGCAAGATGAGGGTTAACTTCCTCAGTGGTTTTGGGTAGAAACGGAGCGAAAGTTTTGGTGGTCTTTGTAAGCCTATGATCCTGCCATTGCCTTTTTTGTTTGTTTCAATCGTGGTTCTTTCTCAATGGTTTCGGGCACGAGAGTAGGAAGGAGGGCGATCGTTTTTGGCAAAATCGAGAGAGAGAGAGGGTGGAGGTTTTGGCAGAGGGCTACAGGAGGAGGCGGGTGGGAAGATTGCGATGCCTCCGCTCTCTCTTATAACACATTGAGGCGGTGGTTCGCTCAATTTGGGAAAGTGGCAGGGGAGAGTAGGAACCAAATCAGGAAGGTATCGGAAAAGAAAGGGAAGATTTGCGTGGCAAAGTGGCGATCAAAGATGGAAAGGAGAAAAAATTCAGATAAACTTTCTGTGCTTAAAGTTGAAGCCGAGCAATTACATGATTTATGGCAGATCAGATTCTGCCTTCAGTTTTGTGAGCACGAGTAACCTGAGGATAAATGATACCCCGTGGTTTATTATTATTATTATTATTTTTTAGAGTAAGGTGATGAGATTATCTCATTATAGCTCCGTGCAGCCTTAGCTTCATGTTTAAGGGAATTGAACAGAAACTGGGATATCTCATTATATCATGATTTTACAAACACAGGTGGCCTATCGTTATTATGCTTTAGCTTAGCAGATGCAGACTATCAGCATTTTTCAGCGGACATCTAAAACAATTACGGCAGCTACAATTTACACTTGTCATGCTGCTAGGTAGGATGTGGCATTGTTAATGCTGTTGCTCTATTAGAGTTTCAAACTTATTCGAAAATCTGTAAAATTTAAGTATATTGAAGGATATAATGAAGAACACAAGCTCGTTGTGAAGTTTTAAATAAATCATTATCGTGAGGTTTGAATTTCAAAACTCAATATTTTGAATTTTTTTTCTGGCACATAAACATTATTATGTTAAATGTAATACATGAACCAGTACCCAACATTCTTTTGACATCAAAAACTGGCCAATGGCTTAACAAATAACTATTTTTCTGCTGAAACTTATTGTCGCAAACTCCTTTATATTCCTATATGTTTAACTTTTATGAAGAAATTCCCACTGAGTTGCAGTTTGCAACCATTTAAAAATTTATCAAAATCAAGAATTTTGGGTTCTATGAAGCTTGAGGAATATGACATACAGATAGCCATTGCATTGTAACGGTGTTAGACTATGATTGATACCTATGTTTGAAACTCACTTGACAATCACTCAAATTTAAGTGACCATGAAAATCAAATTGTTTCAGCACATTGATGGCTTGCTGGTGTTAGTTTGATGTAATTGTCTCAATACACGTATAAATAGATATTTATATATTTCCTTAAACACACAAATTCTTGTACCATGTTTTATAAAGTACACTTATCTTATATTTAACTTTGTAAAAAATATTAAGATGCTGCGTGAATTCTCAAGGAGGAGTTTGCAAAAAATTGTTTTCTTAAAATAAAGAGGCTTGCTGCTTATTAGCTCTAAATTGAGTTCAAAATTGATTGCTTGTTATTCTACTTGAACTTGACTAAAGGTGTTGAAGCCAGTTTATTTGAACTCGCTCGATATTATCCCATTGCTAAAATGAATCTAGAACTTGATAAATATGAAGATGCTGGATATGACATTCATGCCTAGGTCATATGATTACCTTTTTTCTTCATTTATTAGTATTTGCGATAATTGAAATTAGCAGCTTTTGCATTAAATATTCGTAAAGTAAATGTAAAGTAAAATTAAGGCGACAACATGAAGCATGAATCTTTCATGAAATTTAGAAATATGATAACACCTATTGCACCTTTTTATTTTAATCTTTTGCGTCTTGCCATTTAAATAATGTAGGAGGTGAGCTATTCTATTTTATGGGTTATAGCGTGCAGTATTTTGTGCTATTGATATGCATGTATTTTATGTTAACAGAACTTGGGAAGTAATAACATAAGAAGTTTTATTATGCCTATCATTGATCTGATAGTTTTATTCTGATTAAAAACTAATTTGTGTCCTTATTTTTTTTTTCTTGTATACAATTAGCTTTTCATATAGAAAAATAATACAGGAAAACCGAATGGCTCATTTTCTCTTGCTCCAAACAATTACAATTTTTTTTACTGTAGTACTTTTGAAGTTTCTTACATAGTTTGAGGAATTATTTATGCTGCAGTCAATGAAAAAAAAAAACAAGAAGAAAATAAAATGTATGATGCGAATGAAAGAACTTAATTACAGAACATGCAAATCAGAATTTATTTTGGAGGATCAATCTTTGAATGGAGCTATGAGATAATATTATGTCGAAGTGCATTCCATTAATTATCTATGGCTTGGCTGTTACTAGTATTTTTCTTTTGATCCTTATAGCAAATTATCAAATTGTTCATTCTTACTTGATGTTTTCCTCGTGCGATTAAATGATCCCATTGTGACCTAGAAGTTACATATTTGAATCATGGAAACATTTATTTAGCACCGGGCTGGGGGAAGATGTGCAGATCAACCCACTCTAGACTGTGTAACCGCTTAATGCTCATTTATTGGCTATAACCTTCTTAGCATGCCAATTGTTATGCAAGGTGATCAAGTGAGTTGCGTTACCTGCTGTTTCTCCTTGTGTGTATGCTTGCTTCCTTGTATTTGTCACTGTAAATTTGCTGTCTTATGGAAACGGAAAAAATTACTTGCTCGTCCTATATATGATTTTCTCTAATTTTCTCACATCTGTTTTGCTTTCCAGGGTACCTCTAGTTTAGAGAATGTTGACGAGTGGAAATGGAAATTCAGTATGCTTCTTCGTAATGAGTTTGAGCAAGAGTTGGTATCAAGGGAAAGGAAGGATAGACGCGACTATGAGCATATTGCAGCAAATGCTGAAAGAATGGGATTGTATAGGTATATTTAGTATTTTATCTGTGTATAGTGACAATCTATTTCCCTTCCATGCCGATTCCAAATTCTCTTCTAATTTAAACTTTCTTTGCTTGTAAATGTAAACATACATACATGATAGCCGTCAATATGCAAAGGTTGTTGTCTTTAGCAAGCTTCCATTGCCGAATTACCGACCTGACCTCGATGAAAAGCGGCCCCAAAGGGAGGTATGGTGTACTAGCTATTTTTATCTTGTTAATCACTCTCTTGTATATGGTTCGTGGAGCTTACCATGGTTCATAGAGTTTGGCTTCACACAAAATTCTTTACTATTTTATAATCTTAAAATTGGCAAAAATGTGGAATGCTTTTTCACCTCAGGATTTTTCATGATAATTTTTCTTAGAGCATAGATTTGCTTGAAGTTTTTTTCTTTGAACCAATGCTATATGGGATAGTTGATGATTTCCCCACCTTAGCTTTTGAAATTTGCTGCTTGACCTGTAATGGCTGCTGGTTTGAATTTGCAACAGGTGTCAATTCCTATTGGGTTGCAAAGGGAAGTGGATTCTTTGCTCACAGACTATCTTACTCGAAAGAGAGCTAATCCAGAAAGCTTTCCGAGTACTGGCTTTTCAAGGTCTAGCAGCGCTGATAGTTTTGCTACTGATGATGGTCTCTTTGAGCAGCAGGATAATCAAACGTCCACCTCTGTGGTAATGGAAAAAATGCTAAGACGGAGGAGCTTGCAGCTGCGAAATCAACAAGCTGCTTGGCAGGTTTGAATCAAATCTCTCTTAATTTGTTTAATCTGCAATCGTGGAGTTGTTGATGACCATTGCAGTAGTGTTATTACAAATCAATCTGCGTTAGGTTTTAATGTAATTTGTTATTTTCCAAGTCTTTTCTTGAATTTCACAAGTTTCCATTTGTGCTGCCCTTTTTTATTGTCATGTTCCACAAGTTGTAAATAGCGATTGTGTATTTTGCGTATTTACTGTAAGGCAAGATGTCAAATTTCTAATTTTCAAATGAGAATGAATCATGATTCCACTCCAACAGTGTTTTGACCTGTTAGGCACTTGTCATGTTCTGTTCAAGCTTGCCTTGAGCATTGAGAACTTCTAATTATGGTTGAATTGAATGGAATAGAAGTGCAGCTTGGGTATGATCATCTCAGCTTTGTGTTGAAAGATCAGATCCACATTGACTAGCTGATGGAGTTTTGAAACAGGATCTGAAACTGGGAACCATACTGGAAACCTCTATATTTTCACTTGACCATAAAAGAAAGCAGGACTAGATTGCTTCATTGTGTTTGTTAAACACTGCAACAAGGGGTGTCAAATCGGGTTCGTGGCTTTAACCTGAAGTTGACCGGACCCAAAATTGCTTGACCCGACCCGATCCGATCTGAATATTATACGGGTCAGAAAGTACAATCTGAACTCAATGCTCCTTCAAACCGTCTAGCTGAACCCTATCCATATACCCATTTAACTTAAGATATAACAACTATTCAGGTTGATTTCAAGTCAAATTTGTGTTTATTTTGGGTCAATCTCGAGTAAATTTTGGGTTGGCGGGTCGATTTCGACTCAATAGGTTGGCTTCAGGTCAATTTTGAGTTGGGGGGTCAACCTGAATCCGACCCAAAATTAAACGAGGTAGGATTCCGTACTTGAACCCAACCCTAAAATTATTCAGGTAAACCTGATCTCGATTTTTTCGAGTCTAGTTTGGTTCAAGTTAGCATATGGGGTCAATTTTTGACACCCCTAATTGTAGCTCACTATATAGTAACACCGATTTGATTGACACAAAATTTGGATGTTTGTGGGGAAGTAGAAAGCTGCTTGCGTTTGTCAAACCTATCAAATTTTTAATTTCAGGAGGGAATGAGTGATGGAGCAGTGTTAAGCTTACCAACTAGGCATCCTCAAGATGATATGACTATCCAAGGCTCAAGGCTCTGGTTGCCACCTTAGGTACTTGCTTGTGTGAAGCAACCCACTATAAATGAACTAACTATACCAATTATGAGGAAGGATTTAAGGGAATGGATTTTAATCATCACTATAAATCATAGTTATCATCCTAATCCTATTAGTATGATCCTTCTTATTTGGTGCTAGCGTTAAGAATTTTTATTTTCTATTCATTTATGTTGAGTGCTGCATATAGTGTTAACCCATTTTTTGGAAATCTTTTTTGAATCACATTTATTTCTGTTACTTTATGTCTACTTATTCTTTCCTAATTCTTTAGCTCTGTTTTATGTACTTGTTTGATAGGTACATTTTATGCTGTTCATTGTATTTTATTAAATCACCCATTGTATTCTTAATTTTTTTAAGTAGTTGCTACTCCAATCGTCCCTCTAGTATAATTTTTCCCAATTTATTATTATTTTTTTTGTTGCAATATCCCTTTTAATATACCTATTGTTGCCATTCTCAACTTAGTTATTAATAAATTTTTTAAGCACAACTATCATAACTCGGCATCATAGTGGATTTAATTGCAATTTTATAAAAAATATGTTTTAGTTTTCATAATATCTTCTAGTCACATAGTACTCTAGAGGCACTGTTCCATTTTAATTATATAGTCTTAATTCTACAAAGTTGTATCTTCTATATCTCTATTTTTTGTTTATTAAATCCAAGTCACGATAACAAATATTCTTTTTCTTCACTTAATCTTCTATAGGAATCGAGTTAAAATAATTAATATCAAAATTAACTATAATTATATATATATATATATGCAATTTGCTTTTTACTAATCAAAGGCCTTCTATCTTGTGCACATTTTTTTTTCCATTATTCAAACGGTCCACTTATTTAAGTAGATGTTTTTGCAATTAGATTTGTTATGTGTGAAAAGTTGACACCAAGGCACTTTTGAATATCGTTTGTAAATGTCTCTGTAACCAATACAATAAAACATATACTCAATGTTGATTTTTAATGTAATCCTACACCAAATAATGTTGGGCAAAATCTTGAATTATTAGATTTCATTGCATTCTTAATTCTCATGCTAAGAGTTCATTTTTAGATTCATTCTATTATTTCTTAAGATTTAGTTTTTTAAATTTGAAGTTCTTGCATCTTTAATTATTTAAGGCAAGGTATCTCCTCCCCAACCACCCGCCACGCCCCCTCCCCCGAAAAGAAAAATCACATTTGAATATTGTCACTTTTCTTTCCATATAATCAAATACACTTCTTGCTATTTGATTTAAGGCAAGGTATTCGCTTCGACAACACTTGAACAAGAATATTTTAGGGGTGAGGTGTTATTGTCTATGATTTTGCAAAGCCGCTCTTGAGCACCTTAGGCTTTTAACACGCTGTGTTAAATGTAAAAATTAAAGATAGAACACACATTAATAGGGTTTTAAGAGATGCGTGCTCCTTCTAACGAACTAGGGCTATATTCTTGAAAATAAATCCATATCATTAGTGGGATGCGGTGATGAAATTGCTCTTAATGGATTTGGAATATGATCACTAATAGAGTAGAGAGAATGTTGCCATCATGCCTATGATGCACAAACTCTTCTAATGTAAGGAGGCGTGTAGTGTTGGACATGTATCGAACACAGACACGACTTCGACAAGTGTCAGACATGACATAAAAATGTCCTATCTAAATAATATTATAAAAAAGTTAGACACACACAGGACACGTGCAGGACACACACAGGACACGTGCAAGACTCATGTCATAAATTAATTAATTAAAATTTTTGGGAAAATATTTTTATGTAAAATTTAATAAATATTTAACTTGATATCATTTAACTTTTATTTTCTTACATATCTAACACCTAAATATCAATTTATATATATATGTCGCCTCGCATATATATTAAAATGTATATTTCGCATTTTAAAATTGAAAATTGTGGTATATTAGATGTGATATAAACGATATAGGTGTCATAAAATCAAAATAAAAATTTAGGTGTTAGATATGTAAATACATAAGAATTCGGTGCCAATGAAGGACTTTGGAAGAGTAAGGGTGGAGGAACTTTGTCTTGTTGAAAGGCTGCATATTTGTGAGTAAGGGTTCAAACATTATTGAATAACAATATTATTTTGGTTCAAAATGAACTTTTAGATATATTTCTCCTATAAAACAAATGGATATTTGGTCAATTTCTTATCACAGAGCGCAAATATGGGGCATACATGATAAATTTCTCTTACATAAGAAGGCACGCCTCTCCTATGTGGTCTCACGCTTACCTTAAGCGCCGTATTCTCTCACTGTGAAAGCCATAAGACCCTTTAAAAAAACTTTCTAGAAGGCTAAATCTTTTCAGTGAATCTCAATTTATTAGCTCTATCATTCTTGCACTCCTACCCCCTCGCTCTTGTTTGCTCTTTCATTGATGTTGCTAGGGGTGTAGTGAGCTAAGTTGGCTCAAACTCGACTCGTTAATGAGCTTATCGTGCCATGGGCTAGAGCTTGAGCTTGAGCTTTTCATGAATCAACTCGAGAACTCATTGAGTCAGGTCGTTTACATTAATCAGTTCATTAATTAATCTTAATTTTCATTTAATAAATAAAGATTTTACTATTCCATAAAATCCTAAGATACTTTTATCAAAATTATGCTCAAAATTGAGCCTTCGGGCCTGACACGAGTTCGACTCGAGCTTGAGCTCAAGCCAACCATAATTCTCACAAGTCGAGCTTGAGTTGAGTGCGACTAGAATTCAACTCAACTTGTTTATCGGTTGCTACTTGCGAGCTTGTCTATCTCTCAACTTCTCGCTTGCTTGCAACTTCTCTTCTTAACATATCTACTTGCCTGTTGGTTTCTTTTCTTTCCTTTCTGATTTATCACTCACTTGCGCGCTCTTTCCATCTCTACCAAGCATTGAACCTATGCAACTAGTGCTTCATTCCAAGTCACCTCACCAACACAATCCCGTCTCTCAACATTAATCAAGTTTGCATCTCTTCTAAGTCAACAACTTGATTTTATCATCGCCCATCTCGATGCTTACAGTTGTCAACCTAACCGCTTCTTTAATTAGTTTGTTGCAGCGTCTTAGCCTCCATTATCATGTTTGACATTCAGTTGCCTTTGACTATGACAAACTCCTTCAACCTCCAAGTTGCCAACTATCACATCAACACTAGTTTCTATAACTTCCTACACTGACTAGTTCTTTCAAATCGTGGCGATTCTCAATCCAATGATTTAGCTCACTTGTCCATCTTCAATTACATAACTAATCGTTAAGCCTGACCATTTAACTAAACAAGTTTTGTTACTCTCCCACTTTGATGACCTCAAGCTCTTATACCAACGAATTTTGTTTATTGCTGATTTGCATATCCAACAATTAGCTGTAGCCACGAATCTGTTCATCCGTTTCTCTCCAAGTTTATAAACACACACAAAGATATAATGATTAAAAAAAGAGTTTATATAAAAGGAACAATAAATGTGTATCCTATATGTAGTTTTGGGCTTCACCATAGATCTGCTCATCTTGCCACAGCATTGTCAACAACAACACGCATAGACATAAAGTGCAAAGCTAATTAATTTCGATATAACTAAGTCTTTGTGAATGTTTAGGAGATATCATTATGTTTTGTATTTTTCATGCAAGTGATGAAGCCTCATGCACATTTTCTTAAGCATGTCAGTTATAGGCGGACACGGAGCTGAGGGAAAGCCAATCGGTTCAGCCGGCTAGAAGGTGAATCGGCAAAATTGGTCTGGGATTCCAAAATAACCAAACAA